TAGGGTTTTGTTTTTATACCTTAATATTGAATGGGTGGATTTACCAAGGAGGAAAATGTTGGTTAAAACTGGTATCTTTCAATAGAGGGCTCCATACAATAACCTTTAGCTATTTTTCCAAAGTTTTCTCAACTCTGTATAAAAACAAGACGTCACCAATATGTTCTAGTATTGTATAAAATCTACTTTTTAAAAATTTTTTTTGAAAGAATGTAGATTTAAAATTTGCAATGTCCGTTTATAATTTTACCATCCTTAATGCTTTAGAGAAGCTCTGGTATTGATTTATTTCGAGTGGACAAGTTGTGTTGGGTTTTTCTTTTGTTTTTTTTTGTTTTTTTATGCTTTTGGAAGAAACCAGTTGTATTCACAGGGCCTGCAATTGCTGAAGGGTGCCAGGTAAATTCACTGCCTAAAACTTGATAGTAACATCACTAGCAGAATGTGTGTAAAAAAAAATTTTTTTTACATATTTAAAAAAAAATTCTTCCCATTACGCTCTCCATTTATCCAAACCAAAAAGCATCTTTTTGGAATATGGCACCATCGGGTCAGTACGTTTCTATGCAAAATAAGGAAAAAACAAACAAAAACCTCCTTTTAACTAAACCTCAACTTACATTGCTTTCTGTATTGCAATACCAGTTGTAAACCAAACTTATTTTACACTAATCCGTTACAAAATAAAGCATTGTGTAAGAGAACAAAACCGGATTTGCACATTAACACACACTGGCCGCCTTAAGAATTTGAGTTTTGTTTTTTTTCATTCCTTCCCCGTTCATTGGTACAAAATACATAGACCATGCAATAATTGGAGTTCTGTTGCTACATTATGATCTTTCTAAAATCTAGCACAGAAGTAGATCCAGCTGTCAAATTTTCACTTTCATCTTCCTCAGGTTACTAGCTGATGTCCATTTCTGCAGTAAAACAAAGTGCAAAACACTTCACACGAGCATTTTAAGCGGATTGTTTGTTATAACCTAGGCTCATACACATGGGATTTTTTTAAAAAAAAAACTTTTTTTTAATACTTCTAGAATTTATTTTTATTTCGCATAATTGTGCAAAATGGTTCATCTCAGACCCAAAACTTCCTGGTAGTAAGTGTAAAGAGAGATTTATTATAAATTGCTTTTTATTTTATATATATATATATATATATATATATATATATATATATATATATATATATATTTTTTTTTTTTTTTTCCTTAAGCTTAATTAGGACCACACACCTTTTTAACAGCCTTCTTTAAGCAAAGGCAATGATATGACTTTTTTTTTTTATTTTGTTCAACCATGAAGTAATTATTCCCATGGATGTTTATAGTGGAATGGATTATGTCCAGTGCCTTGGGAGTGGACTGTTATACAAGAAATATTAAATGGTTAGGATGTTCCCTTATTTACTTCAGGAGTCCTGTCCTGAAGGCTCCATAACAACTCAGTTTCCACTAGACACCAGAAACTGGTTCTGATTTTAACCATTCTGTATTTTTCTGAAACATACAAAATGAGGTCTTTACTAACTACCAAAGGAAAACAGGCAAGCATTGTACTATTTACCACGTTTTAATTTTCTCGTTGATGGTAAAAGGGTCTAACTAGGGTATAGACCCAAGTGTACGCACCATACTTTGCAACAAGTTTGTATCCCTTCTGAGAAATGCATAATGGTTTTGTTTATGCATTGTGCACAAATATTTCACCCTGCCTAAAGTAGTAAATAACAATTCTATTTTGTTAACTCTTACTTTAGGCTTTATTACCGGTAATTATTACTGGAATTGGGTAAAAAGGGAAAATGAGAAACTTGAATCTGCACCATGTGACGAAGTATGTTTTTTGATATGTTACTGGTGCATATATTAGATCCTCAGTTGTGCCAAGGAGTTTGTGGAAAGATGAAATTCTAAATGTATGCTCTATATTGCACTGAAATCAAATGAAGTGTTAGAAACATTTCGGAATGGTAATGGAAACCGTAGAATGTTTCAATTTTTTGTTTTTTAAAAAGTAGTACTATCTAAATTCATTGATGATAGTGTCCTCATTTGGCGTGGCATTCGTATTAAACAAGGTAAACTAAATTGAGACAAATACATTAAACAAGTATTAATATTTTGTGGGGAATGACATTTTAGTTTTAGCAAGAATGTGTATGTTGCAATTTTCTTTTATATATATATTATTTTTTTAAGCCATCATGTATAGAGGTCACCTAAAAGTGTTACTAAAATACATCACACGTTTTTTGTTTTGTTTTTTCAGCTCTGTGCAAAATATGAAGTCATTAAATTTGTGTTTAAAGTTCCCCTCCATTTTGCTGCCTTAAAGGCAATTTTTGTTAAATACTCAGTCTTGGCTGCAATATTTTTCCCAGTGGGGTTTACAATGAATAAACATTTTCTTGCAGATAAATTGCTCTTCTGTTATTTATAACAAAAAATAGTTGGATAAAAAAAAAAGCCACTCAGACTGGAGTTAAAACAGAACATTTTAAAAGTAAATGTTCTTTATTCCATTGTCCCAGTAAACATTACTGGGATGAGCAGTGCAGTTGATTCTAGAATAAAAGTGCACTTCCCTCCTCTGCACTTCTGTGTCTCAGTAGTGTCATCACTGAGATATGCTATACATGCAAAGATGTTGTTGCGTCACTCATGTGCGTGACACCATGGATTGAAATTTACAAGGTATTTAGTTTATAAGATTCTGATTCTTTTCGAAAGTCATATTTTTGTTTTTCATGTGTCAAAACCCCACATGAGTAGTGTTTATACCTGAGAACCAATCTCCAGCAGTGTTTATATCAGGCTACATTAATAGTAATGTGATTTATGAATTCTGACGTGTACATTTCTTGATCTTAAAAGGCACATTTACTTTCTTTGGTTTTTAAAAAGCACATTTACTTGAGAGGGAATGGAAATACCAGAGCAACGCCGCAGCAAACTGCAAAAATTGTTTACCCAATTCTGAGGAAACTGACTCAATCCTACTGAAAAGAAAACCTGAAAATAGTAATGCAAAAAATGAGTCCTAGTATGTGGTCATGTATAGGATTTCTGCCATGTCTTTCTAAAGGTAAACACCTGGTATCAAACATTTTATCTCCAGATGGACATCCTCTTAAAATGTTTTGAAGGGTTTAGTGGGGAAAAGGTTTTGAATGGTTTAAAACCAACATAAACATATGGTGCTGGTTTTACATGTTCTAGTCTCTCCTGTCTTCATTGTAAAAGCCTCCATCTGGGCATCTCAGCCTTTCTGTAGACACAATGGGAACATACCAGTACTTTTTTTTTCATGTGTTTTTCTCAATGGGAGTTGGCTGATGCTCTCAGCTTGTGACAGGCACTCCATCTGAGGCTTCCACATTGGAGACAGAGGAGGAGACACAAGGACCTGGATTACTTTGAGGGTAAACAATTTGTAAATTATTTAACCCCTTAAGGACCAAGCTACTGGAATAAAAGGGACTCATGACACGTCACACATGTCATGTGTCCTTAAGGGATTAAACCACTTAAGGTAAGACAGCCACAAGGACAATAGATCACTATAAAAACGTCACTGGGATGACATTATGGTTCTTGGAGTTGATTTTAAGTTACTCTGGGTTGTTCAGTTGGAGTCTGATTTAAGGCATTTCAGTTCTTTTTAGCACTGATTTTAATAGGATATATTTTATATTCTCAAACATTGCGTGCATCCGCCCCTACTTATATTTAAATTTTTTATTTTTGCAGTGCATAAAGTTTATACAGGCATGCCCAGTGTGCCCCAAAGGCAGTCCCCAAGCTTTCCTCGCTTAACATGCAGGACAAATGAACAATATGCACAATTTTATATTATGAACAGGCTTAACTGTAGTCATGTAAAATGACATTCTTATAACACAGTGACATGGATGCTTTGCATAATAGTATTTCAAAAACAGGCTTGAACGTCCATTGTGTCACAAGGAGAAGAGAGTAAGTTACAGACATAAACATGCGCGTGTGTAGGTTTGAACAGATTATGGAACAAGTTGTTTAGTAGCACAATTTTTTTTTTTTTTTTTAGAGAGGTCAGATTGGTAGAACTGTCTATAATGTTAGTGACATCCCTATTGATAACTACATGAAGTAAAATTAGACAGTTGAGTAAACTTATGAGCCTTTAAAGATTAGACGTGGGTAGTGAGACCTCTAGGGCTGTGTAGGTGTGTGAGCAATTTAGATAAGTGTCAGTTGCCCCAGGCCATATGAGATTATCCAGGGTGTTGGATGGTTAATGAGCATGAAGCACGGTGTATGTTAGTTGCAAGCATTAGCAGTGTGAATGCTAGTCGGCATACTGTGTGACATTTTCTTAGGTGCATATGATCTTCCACTATTGGGCTTTTAGATGGGGCACAGGCAGTCAAATAAGAACGATAATTAGGCAGTTCAGTGATGCAGGTGAAAGACAGTCAGCGGTGGGCTAATGTAAAATTAAAAAAGAAAGGACAAAAATTGAAAAACGGAGCCCAGGGCTCTGTGCTCCTCGGTAATGCCAGGCTAAGACATCCAATGCCGCTTGGCGGTCTTGCGCCGGGTTCCAGCTGCTCTGTTACCCTGCTATGGTGTATCCAGCCGATCCGTACAATGCAGGAGGTCTTCGTAGCAGCGAGAGCTGAGCCCCATGGGGCGGACCTGCTAGCACATAGGAGGCCGTGTGAGGTAGTGTACTGCCAGCGGTGGTGTCTCCTCCAAGTACTACCCGGGCGAGGGTCTGCTGCTTGCTGGTGTTGGCTGAGGAGTTGGGGTGCAGTCTGCCCGGGCTCCCTTGGTTGTGGCCAGTCCTGGATTGACCCAGTGTGCCGCATCTGTTTCCCAGGTAGGTTCCGTTTCGCCTGGTGCTGGCATGGGTGTGTTGCCGCCATTAGCAGTAGTAGACTCTTGTGCTTTCGGGTTCCTCCATTTTGCCATCCTTGGCGCCGTTTGCTTGCTTTGATAGCAGGTGGAGGTGTGTACTCATGCTGGGGGTTCACCGGCACCGTGGTAGTGACCCTGTGTGCCTTGGCCTGAAGCTCGCGGGCTGCTATCCTCCAAAACCTGGCGAATAGCTCATCAAGCTTGGCTTCAAGGTCGTTTTTCTCTGTGTCTCGGGTACATGTGGCGGTGGCCATTTTGCCTTGCTGTGCCGCTACTCGCTGCTCATCAGATTCTACCCCAGAGGCTCGGGCAGGGAGGTTGCCCCTTAGGGCTGGACCGGGATAACCCCCGCCGGTCCAGGGTGGGAGCAGGGCATCAGTGGGTCTGTACCTCCAATGTTTCGGCGAGGAGAGCGGCCGTCTCTCCCCGGTTCCGCCATCAGTAGGCCGCAGCTTTCCAACTTCGGCTCTCGTTTACCAATTTGCTCGTTTCAGATATCGGACTGATCACCAGGACACCCCTGACTTAGGCAGTGCACCTCGGCTTGTTTGATTTCTCGAGTTTGGCGATTATGTGTAAAATATCAGCAAGTAGAGCAGGAGCCCAGCTTTCATGCGTCCTCTCAGCTTGCTGGCTTGGCCCCGCCTCCCCACCCGCCCCTACTTAACGCCTGATGCGACTAAGGTGCTGGTCCATTCCACTGTCCTTTCTCGCCTTGACTACTGTAATCCGCTTCTCAGTGGTCTTACGTGCTCCCAACTTGCGCCGTTTCAGTCCATAATGAATGCGGGGGCGAGGCTCATCTTCCTGTCCGTCCGCCCGCACCTCCCACGCCTCACCCTTCTGTCAGTCACATTGGCTTCCTATAAGATATAGAGCTCAATTTAAAATTCTGGTTCTTGCTTTCAAATCTTTACATAATGCTGCTCCCACCTATCTATCCTCCCTTATACACAAGTATGTCCCGTCTAGGCCCTTACGATCTGCTGAAGACTTTCATCTATCTTCTGTCCGTACTCCCACCTCTGATGTTCGCCTTCAAGATTTCTCGAGGGCTGCACTGTTCCTGTGGAACTCACTTCCCTCCTCCGTTAGATGCTCACCCAGTCTCCACTCCTTCAAAAAATCATTAAAAACCTACTTCTTCATAAAAGCGTATCAATTTAACTGTTAATAGCTCCCGACTGATCCTTTTTCTGTAACTGTCACTATTCTAATACTACCCTTACCTTTTTGTGTCATTTTAGCCCACTCCCTCTAGCATGTAAACTCATTGAGCAAGGCCCTCAGCCCCTCTGTCCCTGTGTGTCCAACTTGTCTGGTTACAACTACATGTCTGTCCGTCCACCCATTGTAAAGCGCTGCGGAATTTTGATGGCGCTATATAAATAACATAATAATATTCTGACTGTAAACCGTTGGCAAGCTTAGCATTACATTTTTGTTTTTAAATTGTCAGGTTCAGGGCTCCCTGATAAATCTGGTCTTGGAATATAAAAAGTGCAGGAGATAAAGCAAAATAAAATGTAAACAGAACTGGATTTCCAAGAACCAAATACTAACACGTGGAATGTTCCACCCCCATTACATCATCCCATGTGCTTCATATCTTTAGATACATTTTTATCTACACTCATCGGAAAAATAAAGTGCACCCTCTTTCAATTCCATGGTTTTAGGTATCAGGACGTAATAACAATCCATCTGTTCCTTCTTAGTTCTTAAAATTGGGTCAATATAACCTCAGTTGAATAATACATGCCATACTACACAATGTCATGGTTTGTTTAACAAAAATAAAGCCAAAATGGAAAAGGCTTGAAAACCAAAGTACACCTTATGATTCAATAGGTTGTAAAACTACCTTTTAGTTGCAATATGTCATGAGGTAATTATTTTTTATATGACTATCAGTCTCTCCCATGGTCGTGGAGGAACTTTGGCTCACTCTTGTTTACAACATTGCTTCAGTTCATTGAGATTTGTTTATGCACAGCATTTCAATTGTGTTGAGGATTGGGCCATTGCAACACCTTGATTCTTTTCTTTTTCAGCCATACTGTTGTAGATTTGCTGGTGTGCTTGGGATCATTGTCCTGATGTATGACCCAATTTCAGTCAATATTTAACAGTTGTAGAATTGGCCTCACGTTGACTTTAGAATACTTTGGCATACAGAGGAGTTTAGGGTCGACTCAATGACTGCAAGATTCCCAGGTCCTGTGGCTGCAAAACAAGCCCAAATCACTCCACCACCATTCTTGACGGTTGGCTATGAGGTGTTTGTGCTGATACGTTGTTTGGTATTTGCCAAACAATTCCACTTTGGTCTCGTCAGTCTAAAGGACATTGTTCCAGAAGTCTTGTGTTTTGTTTAGATGCAACCTAAAAAGAAAACCAGGCAGCACTGCTTAAGTTTGCAGAGAGAAGAGGCTGTTCTTTCCTTTTCCCCATGACAGTACTATGACATCTATGTTCTGTGCAGGTGCAATGTGTGCCAAACTTGAGAAGTGAAAATGCACAACAATTCAGGTGCTTGTTTCTAATCTGCTCTTCCAGTAGTACACTTATTTATTTTGTGTGTAATAACTCCAGGTACCATAATCACCTCTGGGTGATGTTCAAGTTTATAGTGCTTGAAATGTTAACTTTACAGGGTGAAAAAAGAGATAAGATTTTTTTTTTTTTTTATTAAACATTTTACTCGAGCATGTTAATAGATGCAATCAGAATGTTGTCTACAACAAACTCAAAGGGCTAAATTATTTCTAAAATTACACACAAGTGTGTACCTAAACCACTGGAAACAGACTTCCTGTTTCTCCTCTCTAGTCAATTTTTCATATATTAACAGACTGAAGAAATAAAATAACTTTTTTTCTAAATTCTTTATTTTACTTGTGCATAGAGTAACAGGTTTTTGCAGCGCCACAACAGCGGGTACAATAACAATACGTCCGTAGTAAGTTATAACATGGCAGATTAGACAACACATTTTATATCTAGTGAAGGTAGCGGTCCAGCAGTTTGTACATGGATTATAATGTTACAAATTTACATCTGTATGCTGTAAACAGAGGCATGTAGGGAACATGAAGTGTAGTGCCCAATATAGTTATAAACCAGCCCTTGTAGGATGAGCTGTCCCGTCGTGAGGTACTTATGTTATTCTCCAGTTGACACATGTTGCTGAGTCTAATGGGAATGGAGGATTGGGCTAGGGGATCTTAGTGTGGCACCTTAGTCACGTTCCTTCTGGGGTTTTGGTGGTCTGCTTGCTAGTGTAGCTTGTGGGGTTCCGGCCCAGGTGTGTTGTGTACGTCTTAGTTCACACAATTCTTGGGGCGGTTTGGGGGGAGGAGGGGGAGGTGAGCGAGTCTCAGTGTGTGTACCCTCAAACAAGTGGTTGGGCCTCTGAGGTCGTGTGTATGGTAGCGTCACGAGCACGTGGAAATAGCTATGTGGAAGCAGTCAGTACGTGATGCAGACAAATAGAATTTAAAAATACAAAAATATCAAACAAGAAAACTTTAAACTAGGTTGCCTATTGGGGCAATTCCAAATGTATAGACATAAACCTTATACAGTCTAGGTCTCATTCAAGTGAGAGTGTCCCGTTCCACTCCGGGAATGAAAGGAGGTATGTTGTCAACGTCCCAGGTTCTTTGGGGTAGTGTCGCCGGGTCTGGCGCAGGCAGGCCTAGGGCTTGTAAGAATTGCGGGCCCTCGGTGGGGTTGGTAACTTTGAAGGTTTTTCCCTCTTTGGTGCACAGCAGTGTTCTTGCGTTAGTCCATCTATAGGGTAGGTCAGCGGTTTGCAGGGGCTGCGTGATGGTGCGCATTGTTTTCCGCCACAGGAGCGTGGCTTTACTGAGATCCTGATAGAATGTGAGTGAGTCTCGAATTGGAACGGGGTTTTCCCCCGCAGAGCCTGCAGTAGTCTTTGTTTATCCGCAAAGGATCGGCAACAGAGGATAACATCCCTAGGCTGGGAGTTTGGCATTTGCAAGGGTGGTGCGATACGGTATAGTCCGTCATAGGCGAATTGTTTAGCATGCTTAGTTGGGAGGACGGCTGCGGTGAGTCGCCTGATGAGGTGAGGTAGTTCTTCTGCTGGTACGGTATCCTCCACTCCTCTTATCTTGATGTTGTTTTGTCTGCTTTTCAGGGCCGGATTAACATAGGGGCTGATGGAGCTGCAGCTCCAGGCCCAGGCCCAGGCCCATGGAATAGGCCCATTGATTTATAAAAAAAATAAAAATTTACATTTTTTTTCCCACACTACTCTAAGGGATTCCACCTGGCTTTTATTTTATTGGCACAGCCAGTATTTGAGGCTGCCTGGCTGGTGCCAATATTACAGTGATACTGGCAATACAAATGCTGGTATTTTTCTCAGTATAAACAAGAGATTACTATGCAATACCAGCACTGGCCAGTAGGGGTCGCTGTATGTGGAGACAGGCAGGGATAGGAAGTTGCAGCATATCCCTCCCTGCCTACCTATACTCACTGATCTGCAGGGGAGCAGCTACAGAGAGTCCAGACAGCAACTCCCACCCTGCAGAGACAGCCTACAGCTCAGGGAAGTAAGGGATGGGGGAAAGGCTGCAAGGAGACATACACTGAGACACTAAGGGACATTGGGAGACATTATGACACAGACACAGTTTTCCAGTGTCCCCATGTCTCCGAGCCATGTTCCTGGTGTCTCAGTGCCCCCTAGTCTCCCTGTGCCCCCAGTCTGCCAGTGTCTCACTGTCCCCATGTCTCCTAGTGCCTCCATGTCTCCCAGTGCCTCAAGTGTCTCAATGTCCCCATGTCTCCAAGCTAGTGTCCCTAGTGTCTGTGGCCCTGGTGTCTCCTTGTCCCCATGTCTCAATGTCCCCATGTCCCCCAGCCAGTGTCTCTAGTGTCTGTGTCCCTGGTGTCTGTGTCCCCATGTCTTCAAGTGACCCCTATTTTCCCAGTGTCCCCATGCGTCCCAGCCAGAGTCCCCTAGTCTCCCAGTGTCACTGGTGTCTGTGTCCCTAGGTCTCCCCGTGTCCCCAGGTCTTCCCGTCTTCCTAGTGACATGGGGACCCTGGGATACATGGGGACACAGGGAGATATGGGGCATTGAGACACTGTGATACATAGGATCACTCAGAGACCTGGGGACACGACACTAGGGGACACTGGGAGACATGGGGTACTGAGACACTGATACATAGGAACACTGAGACCTGGAGTAATCGACACATGGGGGCACTGGGAGACATGGGGCCACTGGGAGGAATCCATCTATACAGCAGAATCAAACTAAGTAGTTTTTTGGTGATTTTACAGCATTTTCTCTTATGTCACTCCTTGTGATTTACATCATGTGATGTCACCCATACATATTTAATTATGCAAACTAGCAAGGCCGGTATGTTTTTCCAAGAAAGGTGGCAACTCTAACTACTTTTCACATATCCTTACTTAAGTATGGAAACTTAAGAGGGATGTATTGGAACAAAACTTGTGTGGACTGGCTGACAATGAATATAGTTAAAGGGACACTAGGGTCACCAGAACAACTACAGCTTATTGAATTTGTTCTGGTGAGTAGAATCATTACCTTCAGGCTTTTTGCTGTAAACACTGTCTTTTCAGAGAAAATGCAGTCTTTACATTACAGCCTAGTGTACTCAGCCAATCCTATGGGTAAGCACTGTGAGTGGATTAGGCCACCACTTCTAATGATGTCAGCAGACTGCTTGTTTTTCTGAGTCTAACAGCATGCAGAGTTACAGCTTCAGGCTTGAATACAGTAAGATTTTGCTATATTTATGGAGGCATGAGGGGCCCAGGGGGGCTAGATGGTGGTGTTAACACTATAGGGTCATGAATTCATGTTTGTGTTCCTGACCCTATAGTGATCCTTTAAGGTAATGCTGACTTTGGTCTCTCTAACAATGTGCTTCTACACTCCCTACATACAGCTTTTCTCTGTCCCAGACTATATACCAGGAGCTTCTGCCTGCTAGTAAGAAGGTAAGGAGACAAGTGGACCAGCAAAAGGGAGCTAGGGGACAGCTAGGGGACAGTCCTTAGACAGCGTTGAGCGAGCGCATCATTAGATGCATTTATGCCAAGCTCAGGGTGCTGTCTGCATAGTATGCCCTTAGTTGGCCAGCTGCATGATTGGCAGGCAGCCTGACATGCATTCATACCAGGCTGGCCTTCTAATTCTTTGGGCAGACATATCCTCTTTTTGGGCATGTTCGCCCCTTTTGGCAGGTTACATGATTTGTGTCAGTGGCACACCCTTTTACCGTGCCCATTGACTTCCTGCTTGACTGGACACTGCTGTTAGGGGTTATGGATTTACTTGAAAGATGAAAACATAAATTAGTGAGAGATTAGCCTAGGGTATGTGTTTTCTTATAGCTGCTGTTTTCCCCTTTCTTATAGCTGCTGTTTTCTCTCCAGCACCATCTCCATCAGATACATGACGCTTGGGAGTATTTTACTGTTTTTGGTCGATATGATTCTGTAATTAGGCCCATCATAATTGTCAGCACCAGGTCCACTGGGCTCTTAATCTGGCCCTGCTGCTTTTATCTTCCATAGCATCCATTCTGGCTGCTATTTGGGAGTGGGAGGTTTGTAGCTGCTTTATAGCTTCCCCTTGGCTGGCCATGTTTTGTTTCATGTCAGCAGAGTCCTCCTCAGATACTCGAAGTCTTTCTGTTATTGCTTGCATCTCTGCTTTAACCAGGTTGAGTTCTGCAAAGAACATGTCCTGGAAATGTTCCAGGAGGTCGTGAATGTCCCGTTTTGTCACAGGTGGTTCACTTTCAGGCATAGCCTGTGCTCCTTTCTCGGGTGCCTTATCCACTATTGGATCAGTTGTAGTCTCCCTCCGAGGGGATGATGGCTCCCGCGTGTGGGGCGTCGAGGCCCGCATCTGGCCGATGTCGTGGTTTGAGGCAGCCGCGGCCGGAGCCGGTTTTTGTGATTTGCGGCCCATCGGGGGATCTGGTATGCTGGCTGCTTGTGGGTCTGTGTCCCAGTAGTCTTTGTCCCAGGGGGCAGTACGCGACTGCCGCGGGAGTCCTGCCCGGTAGGCCCGAGGCCCTTTGCGCCGGATCTTTGTACCCGACGGGCACAAAAAAGGCATCCACCGATCCGGTATGCGGACCCCAGTACAAGGGTCGCTATTACGGCTCTGGATGTGTGGCAGTGCGCCAATTATAGGAGATTTTTCAGGCGATGAGTGAGGAGCTGGGTGAAATGGCGTCTGCTCCTGAACGCCGTTAGCTACGCCCCCCCATAAAATAACTTTTTATTAGCAGAACTTATAAAGATTCTACTAATAGTGCTCTTTGTGGGCTGGGTGTAAGAACATAGCAGTATTTGAGTTCTAAACCCCTTTGCACATGGGCCATGTAATTAAGTGGAAAATTGTTCCTTGCCTTGAAATTTCAGAAAATCGATATCTATTTCAGAACATATGTTGCCTATGGAGCTGTACAACATGCCCAGAAACCATAAAGTCCCTTGCTAAAAAAATCAGTATGTCCACGTCATAGAACAGGGGTAGGCAACCTTCGGTACTCAAGTTGTAGTGGATTAAATCTCTTAATTCTCTTAGAGCTATAATGCAGGCAAATGATCAGGGGAGATGTAGTCCTGGAGTGCAGAAGATTGCCTGCAAATGTCCTAGAACAAGCATGTCAAACCCACGGGCCGCATGCGGCCCACAATTAATATTTTTGTGGCCCCGCGAGCCGCAAGTTTGCTCTGCTTACTAATCCCACGTTGCAGGTGCCTACTCTACCAAAATTGAGTGGAGTCTGTTTTTTATTTTGTTTTTTTTTTTAAAACAAGGGTTGGGGTGTAGTAGTTGCTGCCCATTGGAGTGGTCTGGGTGCCAACTCCCACTGCTGTTAACCCTGCAACTGTAAATATTGCAGTTTTCATAAACTGCAATAATTATATTGCAGGGTTAACTTCCTCCTCTAGTGGATGTCTACTAGAGGGCACTTCCTGGGCTATAGCACAGGTCTGTGCTATAGCGTCGCTGGACGTCCTCACGCTATGTGAGGACCTCCAGCGTCGCTAAAATCCCCATAGGAAAGCATTGAAAGCATTTTCAATGCTTTCCTATGGGGAGGTCTAATGCGTGGCAGGTCTCATCCTGCCGGCGGCTGGCGTGAGAGGACCCTAAACCACCGCCGCGGGACATCGGCGGTGGTCTTGGGTAAGTCACTGAAGGGGTTTTCACCCCTTTAGCATTATGGGATGGGGGGTGGGAGGGAGGGAGAGGGGACCTGCAGTGCCTGAAAACTGTTTGTTTTGTCTGAGTGTCCCTTTAAGGTTTTGTTTTTGTTGCGGCCCACATAAACTTAAAGGACCACTATAGTGCCAGGAAAACATACTCGTTTTCCTGGCACTATAGTGCCCTGAGGGTGCCCCCACCCTCAGGGACCCCCTCCCGCCTGGCTCTGGAAAGGGGAAAGGGGTTTAAACTTACCTTTTCAGCGCGAGAGCTCGCCTCTCCCTCCCTCCTCTTGCCTTCGCTGAATGCGAATGCGCTAAAGCGCCAAGCCACAAGATTCAGCCCGGTCTCATATAGCACAATGTTCTCCATTCGCGTGCTCTCTCATGTGAAAATCACAGAGAAACGTTAGCTTAGTGGCTGTCAATGAGACAGCCACTAGAGGGAATAGGGGGAAGGCTTAACCCATTAATAAACATAGCAGTTTCTCTGAAACTGCTATGTTTATTAAAAAATGGGTTAACCCTAGCTGGACCTGGCATCCAGACCACCTCATTAAGCTGAAGTGGTCTGGGTGCCTAGAGTGGTCCTTTAAACCTTGTTTATTTTATGTGGCCTGTGCTAGCCTTTGAGTTTGACATGCTTGTCCTAGAACAATAAAAAATTTTGACATGAGGCTTATAGGCAACACACAGGAGAACAAATAAATATATATATATTTAAAGGTTTACTTTAAAAAAAAAAAAAAGTGTAAATTTCACTGGAATTCAGCACCAGGTGAAGTTTCGCACACTGCTTTTTACGCACCATCTGAGCGAGGTATAGGAGGGAGCAAAACAGAGGGCAAAAATCACAAAATTTGTGCCTGGACTGTAACATGCCCCCAACACAAATGTGCAAATATTTCTGTATATGCAGTTTTCAAGCAGAAATGCTGCACATACAAATTTCTACTACCATGACCTAGAAGCAAAAGTGGTGATGGTGGTCAGAGTAACCCTTTAAGGCTGAAATCTTCCTTCTTCTTTTGGACAATGTGTTAAAACACACAAAGGAGAAATTACATATAAAAATGTACCATTTGTAATAAATGAATAATAAAAATCTCCAATTGGCTATATTTCTCGCACTTTTTTCTTTCAGATTGTATAGTCGGAGCTTAGTAAACAAGTAAATTCCACATTGCCTTTTAACTATTTTGTACCCATTCCGTGTGCAATGTGCAGATAACTGTCCCTGGAGTTAGACGAGATGTACACTACTGCACATCTGCAGTCCCTAACTCAGCTGATGGCAAATTACATTTGGTTCATTAAGAGTTAATATACACAAATTTAATTTTAATAAAAATATAACTATAAGAAAAATAA